AGTGTTGTGCAGGGTGAGCGATGGTTTTGTGGGACGCATCTTAACATCATGCATGGCCAGTAGCACATGTTCTGCACCTGCACAACGTGATCGAGTCCGGGTATTGGGCATAACAAGAACTCGCTTCTGTTGACGATCTGTCAGTGCTGCTGCGACTATGAGTCCTGTGCAGCGCGAGTAAGCGTCGGAGCATAATGTCGACAATGCCAATGCTATCATGCACGATCTGATGTAGGTACGTACAATTCACAGACTTGTGGACGCGTATTTATGTATATATGCTTCGAATCCACACTGACACATGCAGATTTGAGCATGTTTTGCGTGTTCGTTGTTGTTTGTCGGGTTTCATGTATTATAGTCTTGTTACCAAGGTAAGTCTCATCAATTTGCATAGTCCGCCGTGTACTCAGTACTTTTCAGTATCATTTACACACGCCGGCGCACACGGCCGTGATCTGATCAACGGCGAGGCTTTGCCGGATGGGCGAGGCTTTGCACACAGAAAAGACACCTCCTGATGCTCATGATGCCGACTCCGGGGGATCGTGTCGTGATGTTTCGGAAGCCGGAAGGGCCAAGCTTCCGCGCTCGTTCTTCCTTTGATGCAGCTGCGGTGGCGCGATGGCGGACACGCAAAGATGTCGAGCAGTTTGCACTTCTCGCCAGCTTCAGAGCTTGGCCTGCACATCGTCCGATCTGCACCCCGCATTTTTCGCTTCTCCAGCTTTTGTTTTCTTTCTGGGTGCAAATGCATCATTCGTTCTTCATTGCTGTATCGGTTGTTTGTTCAGTACCAGATCAAGATCCATTGTGTATAGACAGCTAGCTATTCACAAACTGTTTCTTCCTTCCTCGCTTGGTTCCGTTCTCTCTCTTTTTGTCTCTTTCTCTCTCTCTCGCTCGCTCTCTCGCTCTCTCTCCCGCCCTCTCTCTCCCTGCTTCTCCTCTCTTTCACACCACGTGTCCGAGTCCCTTGTGTGCGTCGTGCTGAGCCACTTGTGCATGTGTGCGTACGTTTGTGTCTGGATGTGTGTGCGTGTGTATGTGCATACATACATACATACATGCAGACATACATACGTAAGCATGTGCCTGCGTGGCTATGTGCACCCATGGTTGTAGATGTACATGGTAAAGCTTAGCCGAATTTAGCCGATGTAGACTTCCGTAGCCATCTCGAAGGGCCGCGGGGTCTCCCGGCTTCACGGTTTTCCGTACTTTGCAGGAGCAGAAGGAGCGGCTCTGCGACGTGGAGCCCGAGGCTCCGAGTAAGAGTTGAAGAGTAGGGGGGTTTGCGCTATTGGCCTTGAGCTCAATTCCGAGGATGAGTGCTGCATTTCGGCCAAATACTCTTTCGGTGCTCGCCGCATGCAGAAATGATCCCGGCCCTATCCGAAACCTACCAAAAACCTGGAGGCTCGTATCCGTGAGCTGATGAAATCGAAGGCCGCCCGAAGGGAATTGGAAAGATTCTGGTTATGGGATCGGTAGGTGGCTGGTTCATGGCAAAATGGTTTGAATCCATACATATCGATTGCAGTGGTAATTTTTGTTGCATGGTTGAGATGCCTTGCTTTTGAGGCTTTGGGTTTTTGGCTGTCGTGATTCTTTTAGTGCTGCTGTGCATGGCTTCATGTTTGTCGGGATGCTGGCACATGCCTCAAAGCCCAGGCATGTCGCAGGTAGGACAAGTGAGGCTAGTTTACACCCATGTAGTCTCGAGGAAGTGCTGCCAACTTTCATTGCTCTAACGTTTTGTGATTTGTGCACTGTAGTTTGTTGCTTCCGCCCGTGCCCAGGAGCCAGTAATTGTCCTGGACGTGTACTGTGCGCTGGCTCCGAAGGACCAGCTGCCGCAGATTTCCAGCCGGGGTATAAGCTGCTGTTTGTTCGCCTCGGTGTGCGGCTTATCATGGCTGATTCTAACATTTCTAACCCCTCAGGATCACGCCAAGCGCCACAACTTGGGCCCGGTGGTCAAGGCCAAGCTGTGTGAGGAGGGACGTTTTCTTAGTTCCCGGGCCTCCTAACAGTTGAGAAACACAGATACTGTATCTTTGGCTCGGAAAATCAGCGCTGTCGCTATCAATCTATTTTGGCTGTCCTCTGTTCGGACCGCTCGTCACTCAGTTTCTAGTGCCAGGCTTGCCCAATTAGGACCACCTCAGCAGCTGAAGCCCTGTACGTAGGTGCTTCGCTCCCTAATCCAAAGCGACATGCCCGGCAGTTCTTCAACGCAGAATCGTAGGCCGAGCTTGCAGCGCTCTTGCGCCGAAGTCGAGATGCAGGAGGGATGCTTGGTATTTCTGCCCAAGATTCAGAGGTAAAAGGGTAAAAGGTAGTTTGACGATGCGTGACGGCTTCAGAAGGGTTCCAAGCAGGTGGGGCTGCAGAGTCTCCAACGAGGCCCAAGGAGGTCCAGGATGTGATTCAATGACACAGTCACCTGTAGCTGTGCAGGCAGCAACATGCACATGATGCTAGTTCGTTCTGCTCACCTGCGTGCCCAGAAGAAGCCCAAAGCTCACAGTAATGGCGAATTAGAGATATGACACTGATGTAATGGTATCTACAATAGAAGCCATCTTTGCAATCGTAGCTCTATTTCGCGAAGGACAGGCGGTCCTCTTCCTGGTGGGCGGCGAGCGCCCAGCCCAGCTGGCGCAAAAAGTGTGCGGCGCTTAAGCGCTGCAGATGAAGGTTTGGGAGTTTGGGCTGGCTGCTTTTACATCTTTTCTCTTCATTAGGCCTCCCGCCTGAGATGATTCAAGGTACCTGCAGCCACGTTTCACTTCCATTGGCGGCCTGATGTGCGGGTCGGGGACCTCGAGGGTTGTGGCCGGGCTTTCGGGGCTAGTTCGCTACATGGGTGTGATACATTGGGATGAGGTTGCAGCTTGTCGGGTGCTCGCGCCGTTTTCGATTCTTTGTACCGCCTCATACGGCTGTGCAGGTCCAGGCTCCGCTTGAAGTGTTGAATAAGTTTGGGCCATAGCAAGTGACAAACATCAGGCGTAATGATGCCCATCTCGTATCACGGAGAGAGAATATTTCCCTGCAGTTCTTCAAGCGCCCTCTTGCGGCGCTGCGTCGGCAGGTACCTCCGCTGGAAGCCCGATGCTTCAGCACCGTGGGAGCCGCCAAAGCTGCAGGGCCAGCGGAGGGCCCTTCGGCTTTGGTTCATATTGTGCCCTTTGTTTGTTCTTGAACCGGTTCCTGTCATGGTGTTGCTCCCAGACTTCGTGGTGCGCTGATGGTTCCTGTGTTTTTTGTCTTCTGCTTCTGGTTGTTTTATTGACCATGTACAGGGTTTGGTTCCGGAGCGGGTTGGAAGTCTTTCTTACCCTTTCACTTGAATCAATCCAGTGCACTCCCAGCTGCCCTGTCATGCCACGAGACCTTGCGGATACGCTGAAAGGCATCGAACCAGATCAACAGGTCCACTTGGCTCCAAAAACATGGGCCTGCTCATCATGCTTTCGTTGCTGAGATCATCTTTGGCCTACAATTGCCTTGAAGAGCTTGCCACGATGACGCAGAACTGAGCGGGAGGGCTTCGGAGCAGGGGCATCATCTCCATGGTACAAGTACGTAGTCCAACAGTCAGTCATAAACTTGGTCAGTTCCAGGTTATGGTTGATGCCGGTCTGGTGAATCTTCACTGCCGTGGACAGGGGTGATTGCACCGAGAGGTGATGCTCCAAGGAAGTTCCCTTTAGTCATTCCTCTGGTCCAAGAGTTTCCGAACGACTCAGCAGGAGCAGTGCAGGAGCAGAATTGCTGTGAAACTCTCCGCTCATGTAAACCCTGCTTCGATTCCTCGGCCCTTAGATGGGCAAGCGGCAGACTGCCCCAGACTTGGACAGGAGGGCTGGTGAGCATCTACCATTCTACCATTAATTCGACAGACGTCTGACGGTGCTGAGAAGCCCACTTTAATTCGATGCTATGCCCGAGTTATGGTTTTTTGATCAATTCGATTCACCGGGCTGCTGGGCTGTTTCCTGCGCTTTGATGACATTGGTTAGCCCGGATGTTCCATTAAGTGCAAAGTGCATGCTCAGAAACTGCCCTGGGGCCTTCCAGGGGTTGCCTTGTGGTTCAGGTTGCCCCCTGGGTCTGTTGTGCTCGGTGCCAGGATCCGTGATCCCGAGGCTTTCTTGACATGCCTGGCTCGTTGAAACCATTGTGTTGATTAGTTTAGGTCTGGCACGGGGCAGAGTGGACTGCATTGCACGCAGCAAAGCTTACTGGAGTTGGGATGCTTGACTGGCATTCGTGGATCGAAGACCGCCAGCAGACCATCTGAACAAGCTTCGCTTGACACGGTAGCCAGTCTTGCGTGGGCTCTTCGCTGAACATCGTGCGTGTTCGAACTCCTCCTACGCCCATCACGCATTCAGGACAACCTTGTGGGTGCACTGTGTGCTGGTATATTAGTCGTGCCGGTCTATGATGCCGTTGATGGTTTGGTGATGGTGATGGAGGCATTAAGCAGCGCAGGAATGGTCTGGTCACTCCTTCCTGTCCGAATCGGCCCAACCTGTCCTCAGCGAGCCCACGCCTGGCCTGTACCCAGCTATGTGTTTGACTGGTTGTTCCGGACCATGTGCGAGCGTAAAATCGCGGCTCATCCTCCAGCGGCTTGAGAATCAGCATCTTGCAGGTCACCTTTCAATTGAAGCTCTTTCATCCTTGTAGGACTCAGTCATCATCGGGAAATTGTGCAGAAGCAATGTAAAGTGCCAGAATCTGCACACACGGCTTTGATTTCCCGGCCAACAGTTCTAAGCCTGTGCCTCTTGATTCTGTACAGGCCCCGCGTAAGGCTCAGAAGTTGTGAGGGGCAAAGCATTTCAGTGTTTCTGATAGCCTGTCAACGGAGACTGGCAGGCGGAAAATAGGCATCAACAAAAAACCGTGATTCACTATGGTAACCCTGAATGCCAAAATCTCTTTTATATTCTGGTCTTCGTTCGGACTCTCTCGTTTTGCAGGGGTCCGTTCCGGCCTCTCTGGACGAAGCTGCGCTGTATCCGATGGGCCCGGGGCTCGCGCTTCTCAGTGTTTTGGGTCGGTGTCGGGCTCGGGGTTCAGGATTTAGTCTATGATTCAGGGATGTTTAGGGTTTAGGGGTTCGGGATTTGGGGTCCAAGGCTTCATCATTTGGGGGCTTAACTCCCGAAAATCGGTTTTATAAGGAGTGATGCTGAACCTCAGAGACCGACTTCTGAGGCTTGGAGAGCCGCTTTGCCTATCTCTTCGACTCACCGCGCCGTGGCTGGAGTTTCTAACTACCCGGATGCAAAGCCAATCTTGCTGACTCTGTTGGCATGTTTCAGTCGCCTACGTACAGCCTTGTCGTGCTCATTTTTGGCCCTCGTTCTGCCTAGGTTTTTGGGTCGGTCGCTACTGCAACCGACCTTTGCTTTCGAAGCTGAGGACGCGAAGCCATGTCACGACGGCCCTTGCCTCGCAGGCGACTGCGGGAGAGTGGCTCCAAGGAGACCTCGGAGTCTGCAGAGTCCGAAAGAATTTTGCAGGCAACTGCCGAGGACGATGCGGAGCGCCTCAGAGCACAGTGGGAGGCACGTGGAGGGATCTCGGTGTTTGGCTCACAAAAACTACTTCTCGGTCTCCACGGTAGGGCCTGCTTGGCAGTAGGGGACGTCATTGTCTACCCCCGTCGGACCATGTCTGTGGCTGCGGTTTTCGCACCTGCGTGTCGTATCCTTTGCATGGACGGGGCGTTCGCTGCTGGGTCTCGGCAGTCATGACCACAGAGGATCGCAAGTGAACCAAAGACCTCTTCCGTCTTCCCGACCTCCGACCTTTTTGTGCTGGACCCTTGCGATCGGTGAGCCTGAGCTACAAGACTTGCTTACGACGTGGTTCTTGGAGGATGACGACCTCGTCCAGTGGCAGAACCTCACAGAGGCCCCCCCCTCTGCGAGAGTTCGGAGATTCAGCCTTGAACGGCTTGCTTTTTCGGGGGATCAGGATTACGGGATCTAGGGTTCGGTGTTCAGGATGCAGCCGTAGCTCTGATCACTCCAGATTTCCCGAACCTCATCCCCGGGATGAGAGGTGAAACGATAGCCTCCGGAGACCACCAGCCACCATCTCTTGGAATGGACTTGCCGCCGTTTTCATCTGATGCACCTGGCCCTACCCGAAGATCTCGGGTTCATGACGGTGCTACCAACACAGGTCCAGCTTAAAGCCCTGAAAAAGAGGAAGGAGCTACAACAACAACAAAAAAAGGGGTTTCGGTTTAGGCCCTGGGCCCCCGGCGGCCCGGCTCTCTGCGAGGCCTTGGAGCGCTCCGAGGCCGAAACGGAGATGTGGCGTTGCAAGGCGAGGGGAAAAGGGGGCTGCGCAGCGCAGGGCTGAGGGTTTCGGAAGAGTGCAGTTTGGGCCAGAGGTTGAGTATGCTCGATGCCGCGGGTGCTTCCGGAGCAGATGCTTCTGTTTGAAGCTGAGTGTTGCAGGCTAGAGCTTTGCCTGGAAGTCAGGCGAAGCCAAAGTTCGTCTTTCGAGCAGATGATTTCAATATCGGGGAGGTTTAGGGCGGGAGCCTCTCAGCCCAGAGGCGGCAGAACTCGAAGATCTCCTGAACATGCAGCGCTGCGGCCTTGGCGCCTGGTTCCACAGCCTGGTTCTAGGAGTGGCAAGTCTCGGAGATGCAGTTCCCACCCAAGGTCAGATCTCGGAGGAGGCCCTGCGTGCAGGGAACGGGAGATTCTCCTGAACAAGCGCTTGACGGCTGAAGCATGGAGGAATACAGTAAATCCAGGGTGCAGGTCTGCACGGGTTCAGTTCCGGACCCCAGTGCTAGTGCTGGCCTGTTCGCATTTGTGTGCGTGTGCAAAGGCATTCCCAAGGCATGTCGAAATCAGAGCTTCGTGCTCACCTGAAGGCCTCGTCGGAGCGGGTTGGCGCTGTGTCGAACGTGTCGTCTCCCGAGGCCGAAGTGAAGATCGGGGGATGCTGCGATGTGGAAGGCTTTTCGGGTGACTCCAAAGAACCCGTGGATCTGCCACGCCAGGCGGATCGTGCACCTGAACGGCGGCGTGCGGAGCCCATGCTTCGACGTTTGGAGAATACGCGGTTCACGATAGCGGATGCTGCGGGCTCGATCCAAGTAGATTTCTAGTCATTGGCCATGTTAAAAGTGAAGGATGATACTGAGTACAGGCATCTAGCACATTTTTCCGACCTGGAAGATCCCGTGCCCATCTCCCAGAGAATTTGGTTGGGATGTGAGGCCCCGGATGTAGCTCCCATCTTCGCCAAGATTCGTCTGCAGCGCAAGGGCCGTCGACTACTAGCCCAGGCTTGAGCATTCCTGTCCAATACTCGCAGCTCTCTTCGGCTCGAGTTTGCGCAGTCAGCGAGAGACTGTGACGAGCGCAGACGCCGCTGACCTTGTGCACAGCCCAGAGCACTCAGGGCGGTCTGCCTGTTACCGTTAGGGCAGCATGGGGTTCGGAGGTTGTCATCACTTCAGTTCACGTAGGAAACCTGCACTCTTTGCTGAAGTTTTCTTAACGACCCGTCTTTTTTGGGACTGCTCTTAAGGGTCTCGTCTCCATGCCGTCGAGAGCTTGTGGGGCCAAGATCCCCCAAAGACCGAAGCCCCAAAGACCGGCTCAGGTGTTATGGGTTGCTTGCAGGCCTCTGGACATCAAGTGGAAAAGACACCGCGACAAGACATGCCTTCAGGTGGGCCTTGCTTTTCAAGCTGCCCGGAGTCGTGTGGGTACTGCTTCCATCTTTTTGAGACCTGTTTCTGTTGCGCTGCACAGACTGCCGCGCCTGACGGATGGAGTTGCACGGGGTGCTGGGTATCACTGATGCAGTTCTTCGGGAGTGGTACCATCAGGTGCGAAACTGATTCGAATACGGCTCAAGGGGTATTGTCCAGTGAGAATCGTGACTGGAATGAACGACCTGCTGGTTAGAGCAAGAGCTTCTCCCTACTTCGAAGCCCGAACAAAGAGTCGTCACGGGCGCAGAGGTTGAGTTTTGAGATGCTCCGGAGAGGCAACCTGCTTCCTGCAGCCTCCGGTGCAGCTTCAAAGATCTCATGAACATGTGTGTGAAAAGGTGATGCAATCCTTCGCACGGTCAACAAAGCAGGTCTTAACCTAACTACTAACCGTCAGTTTATCAACTGAGTCAACGACAATGTCGATGTCGCGCCCTTGGAAAATGCCACCATGGCAAAGACCAATATACCTGGAGAAAGGTTGGAGTGTGGATTCAAGAGGTGGGTGTCACTGCCACTCAAAGGTTGTCGCTGCCGACAGCCGAGTGTGCTCTCAGACGTGATGCAGGGTGCCATTGCAGAGGTTGCAAGCTGAACCTACTAGGCACGAGCACCCTCATGCTTCACTTAAACCTTCCATGTCCAGACCTGCAAGTTCTCCTACGAATAGGACCTTCCGGACCACTAGACGGAGCTGGATTGCAGACACCCACAACACCAAACCAACAGTTGCAACACACAGCTCGGCCCGAGCCCAACAGCAGCCCCAAAGCAGGTGGAGCATCTTCTCCTCCCAAGTACGGTGGTCGCGATGCAGATCCGGACAAGCCCATCGTGATGGGGAAGCTCCTTGGTTTTCAGAAACCTGAGGCGGCAATGAAGGTTTCACGTCCTTACCGAAATATTGTCGGATCTGGGTATGTTTCAGGGTGACAGTAGCTGAAGTCTGCTGGCATGCATAACTACCTTTCCGCACTTTAAGCGTTTGGCTCTCCTTGATCCCCAAGCACTGCCTGAAGCTTGCAACGATATTGGCCCAGCATGCGAAGGTACAAGATGAGTATGAACAAATCTGATCTCCTGGGAGAGGGATCCTCTTCCATATGCCGCAAGGCGCGTCGGAAGACAATACCAGACCAACAAACTGTTGGGTGCACCTCCCCTAAACGCTAGGCCCACCCTCCAAGAGTGCAAGTGGTACGGACGAGACTTTTCGCGACTCTTCAGCCAGCATTGTGGGCACCAAATAATTCAGCAGTGTTTGTCTCAGCAACCTACCGCTCTGAATGCCTACTCCCAGCCCTCTTTCCGAGAAAACTGAAGACATCCGAAGTCACCGGGCTGCAAGGGCATCGACATGGAGACGGGCCAGGTGCCTTGAACAAATCACAAAGACTCGGTACGTCTGTCAACGCCATTTGGGGGTGGACAGCAGTGGACGTTCAGTGTAGGACAGACTTCAGGTTGGGTCTCGCAGGAACATGCTGTACTGTCGCCTCCCCAACATGTTCAGGGAACAACTACGCGTAGCTCAGGAAGTGGCAATCAAAGTCTACAAGCTTGCCACGAAATCGGTGAACAGCTCCGAGGCCTGCGTCATTCGGGGCGTTGTCCCAGTTCTGAAACCTGAAGTCCCCTAGCCCTCAAACTGAGCTGAAGATTCCGTGCCAGCTACCGTGATGCGCAGCGCCTTGTGCCCTCGCTTCCGGTTCACGCCACAAGAAATGCCCAGCCAAGCCCAACCCCGTGCGGCTGCAGCTTAAGCTTCAATCAAAGGGGCTCCCCTGCGAGTTCGTGAGACTTGCAAGAAGGCAGTGTATAACTGTATAACCATGGGACTAAAAGGCCTCGGGTCTCTGCTGCGCCCGGTACGTGACCGGGACTTCAGACGAATTCAACCATGGAGCTTCTGTGCGGAGGAAATCCGCCTCCAGAAGTTCAAGCGCCAGATCCAAGTCCTGAAGATGACATGGCCTCAGCTTTCATTCTGAAGGGCTTCTAGAGATTTTTGACCAGAGTGCAGGATTCGATGCTGAAGGCTCAAGCCTGGAGTGTTCTGCTAGGATGAGGGATGTCAGGTGTAAGAGTATCTTTGCGAGCAGAGATGTAGGCCGTTGATGGATCTTGGGCTTTTGAGCCTTCAACCTTGGGATGCTTCCAGGCGAAAAGTTTGGATTCTCGATCCTAGGCACCGTTTCTTCCAGCCCGCTTACGTTTCATTGCACGTTGTTTTCCAGCAGCTTCAATTTCCGTGCCCCACCTTAATCTCCGAATTCTCAAACACGGAAGCCGTGTCAGTGCACGTGGCAATGCGAAAACCATGCATTGCCCGGACCGCCAGGCTACAGGAAGCCTTCGTGGTGCCGAAGGCATGCAGTCGTCTGGCTTTTGCCGTCTCGCGTGGTTAAACCTTGAAGTTCGGCTTACAATTTTCGGGCCGAGGATTCGGTTCGCAGTTTTGGTCGGAGTTTACACGTAGGGTCCGATCGCATGGCAGGGTGAAGCCCTGCTGCCGTCCGCGGTTTCCCGAACGTCTTCAGACCGGTATCGGATGGTACAGTCGCAGGTATCCAGGAATGTGTGCTGCCCTGGGCTCGGCCAGACTTGAAGTTGCCGGCAGGATCAGACGCTGTGGCATCCTGATCTTGCGAAAGCGACGCCGTCCAAGCTCTTCATGATGCTGTTGGACTACTCGAAGGTGCCCTGCGTTTGCCTGCAGGGACGAGTCCTTTCGGTCGCCAAGTATCGGACGCCTGGGATCTGTTTGGCTCGATGACGCAAAAGAAGTAAAGGGACGGAAGCGCACACAACATGCTGCCAGGACGACAAGGGCGAGCCCTCCCCAGATCCCACAGATGGTGTGATGTACGTCATCACAGAGGTAGCGCAATACAGCTTGAAGGACTGGACCTGTCCTGTTGGTGGGAGTACAGTGTTGTCGAATTGCGAAGTTCAAGGTCGAAGCCAGGACTTGGGGATTTCGGGTGTTTGTGACCACTCGAAGGTTGGCCTTGTTGTGGGCTGAAGCATGCTGAAGCTATTGGTGTGGCATGGCTTGGTCCCCTGGCTTCTTGGAGCTTTGGGGCTTCATACACAATGACCCGGGCAATAGGACCTCCACATGAATGAGCATCTCGAAACCGCTTACCCAAAGCGTTCTTAGCAAGCTCGCGGCTTGCAAGCCCCAAACAGCAGCTGTCGTGGCATGATGGCAGCGCGGCTTCTCCTTCCAATTCTTCTTTCCCTCGAGCTCGCGCAAGGCTCGTAGCTGAACGCTGAATAAGTACAGACCGAGAGCCTTCCTCGGGGCTATGTCGTGGGCCTCGCCTGGCTTGCCTCTGGTGGGCTTTCCGGCTTGTCGCGATGCTTGCTGACGGCCACGCTGCTGGGATGAATGCTGAGGTAGGTGCTATCAGCTTGGGATCCAGTCCGGGGTCATTGCTCGGGAAGTCAAGCAGTCAGAGTCCTTCGTTTCTGCAGCGGGAGGCTGTCGCAAAGCAGTTTCAGAAATCGGCAGCTCACGAGGCATCCTCATGCTTGCCTACGGGGTTCAATCTTGAATTGTGAACCGTGATGCCGCCCTACTCTCGGGGTTTGTTCGGATGGTCCAAACTCGTGTGGA